TTCTTAAAAGATGGGGAAAAAACATTCAAATGAAATAGATTTGGATCGAGAAATGAACCTTTATGAATTTGTGGATTGACGAAAAGATAAGCTGAGGAAGAAAGGGAAGAATCGGACAGTTCGAGCTTGAGAAAATTGCTACATTTGCCATCTTACCGCCTTTTACTTTCTAACCTCTTTCGTCTTTCCCTCCTAATTTGATCTGAACTTTAAAGGTCAATATTTCATTTTGCCCCTTTTATTATGCTTCATTTGTTATTTGGTCTTTATACTTTAATTGAGCATGATTTAATCATATACTTGTATAGTTACGGGTGCCAGAAAAAACTTGTTTCCAATGAGTTTTGACTCGATTTGATCTAGTAAGATCGATTTTTATATCGAGTTTGAGTTTTAGGTTAATCAGATTCGAGTTTAGAGAAGAGGTATCTCGTCTTGGATAATTATGTGATATGAGAATAGGAGGAATAAAAGTTGTTTTTGACAATAAATTGAAGTTTTTTTCCAATAGTAAAACATTAAAAAAAATTTACCAAAAAAATGCAACTACTTTTCAAATAGGATTCGATCATTTTTAGGTCGAGATGCTTGTAAGAAATTATTAGTTGTTAGTTACCTTTCTAACATATCTTAAAATGTTTTAATCGGATGGTAGAAACTCAAAATATGTTTATTTTAATGAAAACGGAGCATTTAAAATATTTACATGCATGTTCAATCCATGATTTTTTTAATATTTATGAATTTTTAATTTTTTTATTGATTATTTATAATTTAATTTAATTTTTAAAACATATATGATTGCATTGGCAAACAAACTATAAAAGGAGATCAAGCTATTGAAAGATCATCGACAAATCGCAAATCAAAATCGAGCGACGTAAGAAAACTATTCACGAGCGCAAATCACATAACCAAATCCATTATGGGGGTCTGGATCAGGGAAGATCATCATGATAATAAAACGTCATCTTGATCAGTTGTGATGATGTCAAATCCAACCCTGAGAAAATAGATAAACAAAATAACGTCCAAACGACCGAAAACGTGTCATAAGATATAGGGAAACATGCCATAAAGGCAGAGGAAATCATGTCATAAAGATCACATTATTAAAAATTAAAAACAATAAAAAACAAATATATAATATAATATAATAAAAAAACAATAAATATTGACGGTCAACAACCATCACTAAGGTTGGTGTCGTTGCCGATCACAAAAATAAAAAAGAAAAAAAAACTAATAACGGCACAAGTTAAAGAAAGAAAACTATGTTGAATACCCTTATAATTAAATTTCACTTTAAAATTATGTATTTTAGATAATTTAATACCAAATTTATCATTAATTTAATTTATTACAAGATTTAGATAAAATTATAATTTATTTATTATTTATTTTATTCTGTCTTTTAAATTAAATTAGTGATAAAATTATACAAGAATATTTGTATCTTTATCTCTATCACTACCTCTGGTTAAATTTTAAGATTTTATTAGTCTATAAATAGAGTACCCTCATTTGTACCGTTCATCCAATTTAGAAAATACAAAATATTTTTCTTAAAAATTTCTCTTAGATAGTTTTATTTTTTAAAAAGATTTTTATCTTATTTTTTTACTTTGAAGCGTGAGAATCCAATTATATTAGGATTAATCAATACATTATTTTCTATCGAATTTAATTTTGATCATAATATTGAACCTAAACTAAATTATAGGTATTCGGTTGTACCTAATTAAAACGATCAATGATAATTCTATCCTTCCAATAATTATTTTTTCAAGATTATGTTGTTTTTTTGATCCACATAAAAAATAATTTCAATAAAAAATATACATTGACGGAGCAAATATACTACAAGGGTGTCAATTGACACCTCAAAAATTTCTTAAAAGGTTTTTTTATATTAATTTTATATATAATATAAAAATACACTATTTTTAAAAATATTTGAATCTTTTAAATGAAATTGACCTGTGTTTAAAAAAATTGTCACCCCATATTATAAATTTTAACTCCGTTAAGAGAGAATATGAATTCTCCTTGCTTAAACTGGTTTATAGAGGTTCTGAATTCTATTCAGTTAGCAAAGGCGGAGATTGGTCAATTTTTAACTCCGTTAAGAGAATGTGAAATATACTTTCATTTTATAAGGGTTGATTTTTCAATTTTCGTTTAGGATGTCAAAATTGTTTAAAATGATCTTAAATAAGATTATTAGTTAAACATGTGATTTACTGTGATAAAAAATCTGATTATGTGCTCGAATTAAATTTATAAAAAATTAAATAGCGTGCACAGACATTACCGACTACAATTCATATAATTAAACCTTTTATTAATGTTGACCATTAATTTATGTTGAAATAACATGTGATCCATGTTAATATATTAATCAACGTCACATATCATGTGATAATTCTTTTATGATATCAACATAATTTAATGGTTAATGAAGGGATTTAATTGGTTAATTTATCATAAAGAAAAGCTGGAATATATGTTAATTAGTATAATTAAATTCATTTTCCATTGGGCCATGTTTAAAACAACACCGTTTTCACGCAGTTTAGTTGTTCCTAGCAAGACTGAAGATTTGGACCTTCGGCTGTACCAAGCTATTAGCAACAATATTAGTGTGAAAACTGCAACACCTACTTACCAGCAAGATTCGTTCAGGTGATAAATAATTTGATATTGTTCAAGTAATATTTCGAGTTTTAGTCATTGTGTATAAAAAAAATTTGTTCAGGTGATAAATAATTTGATATTGCTCAAGTAATATTTCGAGTTTTAGTCATTGTGTATACAAAAAAAAATTATTATGAGACTCACCTATCAAAAATCAAATGTACTAAGATTGGTCCGAACTAAATAAGATGAAACTTAAAAAAAATAAAAAACAAACCTACTTGGTTGGTTGGTTGGCCTCTTGTTCTGTTCCTTACATCATTCTGTCAAAAGTTGTCCTACCCCCGCATTAAAGTATGTCTTAAAAACGTATTGGTAAACTATAGATTTAGTACCTAAACTTTTAATCTTATCAAAATTACGCGTACCACTTTATGTTTCATTTGGATTGTATATATTTTATGGATAAATTACATCATTCATCACTCAACTAACTTCTCAATCCTGTTTTGGTCACTGAAGTTTAATTTTTTAATTTAATTATTTAACTTTCAAATTACTCCTAATTTAATTGCTCTAACTTTTAAATTTATTTTATTTTATTTTACTTATATATTAATAAAAATGTCATGCCACAAAAATTATTAATAAAATAAATTAGAGTGATTAAAACATGAACAAATTGAAAGTTTAGTAATTAAACTGAAAACTTTTAAACTTATCCATGACTAAAAATATATAAACATATACTACACGTTAAGTAATTATGTATGCATAATAAGTGTCATGAATGACTAAAAAAATATTATAAACATATACTACATTATGATGACTCAAAATTATTTAAAAAAAAGGTTAATTATTCAAATGGTCCCCCAACTATAAGATATTACTTTACTGAGTCATTCAACTATTAAAAGTTATAAAATAATCCTCAAACTATAGGGAGTTGCTTTGATGTGTCCCTCGACTATTAAAAGTTACAAAATGGTTACTCGACTATTCATTATGTTCAAAACTCGTCATTTTACGTTAAAAAATTGGCGACAGACCGAGTTGAATGTTAACCTGCTGACTAATATATGATAAAAATATGATCTCACATATTAACTTTCAGCTCAAACGACCGTTAACATTTAACCAAAAAAAGAAAGTTTGAAACATAATGAATAGTCGATTGACTATTTTGTAACTTTTAATAGTTGGGAGACTCAATAAAGTAATTCTCTATAGTCAATAGACTATTTTATAACTTTTAATAGCCAAGAGACTTAACAAAATAATATCTTATAGTCGAGAGACCATATGTGTAATTTACCCTAAAAAGAATTACATCATTCCATTTTACACTTATTTTTATTTTCTAAATTTTACAAAAAAAAACCTTGTTTTATTTTATTTTATAATCAGCAATTTATTGGTCAAATGTGAAGGAATATTAGCAGTTCACGATGGAGTAGACTTTTTCAGGTAAATTAAACATTTAATATTTAAACTATGATTTTTGTTACGTTTTAGTATCTAATTTTTTCCCAAAACATATTTAATATTTAGTTTATATTTCATTTTAATACATTGATGTTAAAAATTTAAGGTGATGTTGATGCGTCACCATAAGAAAATATCACATCATCTTTAAAAAAATAAAAAAAATACCATGTCAGTAGTTTTATTGATTTTTTAACGGCGGGATATCAAATTGAAACTTAAATTAAATATTACATATGATTTTTAAAAAAATAAAGTTTGGGTATCAAAGAAACAAAAGTAATAATTTAAATACTAAACGTGTAGTTTACCGCTTTTTTTAATAGTAAGAGGTAATTATAAAATATTTGTTCATAATTTTTCTTAATCAATTAACAATACATTCATACTTTACTGACACAAATACTCAAACATATAATTTTCATAAAAAAAATAATATTTCCCTCTACTATTGAAGCTGCTTAATAGCTTCAGATAAGACTTATTTAATTTACGAGTCTTTGATAATATTTTCTTTTTGCTTTTTACTTTTTGCTTGATATTAACATTATAAATTGTTGCTTTATAAAGAAAAAAAAACACCACGTGACTAGACATAAAATTTATTTTGAATTAACAAATCCTACATAACTTTAGCATTTAATTAGAAGGAAAAAGAAAAAGAAAAAAAGAAGATAGAAAGTTATGTTGTGCCAGTGACCACGTGTTGGTATTTGTAATTTTCCCCACGTGAATCACATTTGGATTCTCCCCATCACCACGTGCCAAGTGTGGATGAAGTAACAAAAATCATAGCATGAAACACGTTTCTCATGCAATATTTAAACCCCCATCTTCTTCTTCAACAAAAGCTAACCATCTCTGAGTCTTGGAAAATGAAACACATAGCAGTGCTAAGCTCAAAAAGCCATGAACATGGTGATGGGAGTCCAACCCAATCCCAGAAACGAAAAGCTGGGAGGAAGAAGTTTCAAGAGACTCGGCACCCAATTTACAAAGGCGTGAGGAGAAGGAACGGGAAGTGGGTGAGCGAGCTTCGAGAGCCGAACAAGAAGTCTCGAATCTGGCTAGGGACATTCTCCACTCCGGCCATGGCGGCCAAGGCATATGATGCAGCGGCTTTGGCCCTCAAGGGAGATTCAGCTTCCTTCAACTTTCCTGACTCTGTTTATGCATTACCACGTGCTAGGTCATCTTCCATAAGGGATATTCAGTGTGCAGCCATGAAGGCTGCGTCGGAGGCGGGTTTCGGTAATGGTGAAACGTCGTCTCCGCCGCCATTGGCGTCCTCGGAGAACGTTGGAGCGTGTCCGGAGATTTTGGTGGTGGATGAAGAAGAGGTGTTCAACATGCCGGGGATACTGGAGAGTATGGCAGAAGGGTTGATCTTAACTCCACCTGCTATGCAGAAAGGGTACTTCTGCTGGGATGACGATTTAGATAATTTTATGGAATTCAATCTCTGGGGGTGACTAAGTTGTTTCTTTTGTGGAGGAAGGTATCATGATAAAAATATATTCTTTGCATAAATGATCATTTCTTAATGATTTAGGAGCATTTGATCTTTTAATATTGTAATTTTTGATAAAAAAAATTTACAGATTAAAACTGTTTTTTGTATTCATATTGTTGATGTGATATTTTTAAATATATTTAGTTATTAATATAACACATGTCATGTAATCACTTTTGGGACGTGGACTATGTCGCGCCATTACTTTGAGGACGTGACACATAACACGCTAACAACATGGATTAATCATTTATCAACTAACAGTTTTCATCCAATATAATATATTTTGATAAAAATTGAAATATTGATTGTAAAGTACATACAGAAAAATCGACGAATTTTTATCATTACACCTAGGGGCGGACCCATAACAAAACTTTAGGGGTTGCAAAAAAAAATTCCATGAGAACTTAACTAAAATATGGAATCAGATTGTGTTTAGAGAACTAGGGGTTACCCCTTTGTCAGGACAAAACTTTAGGAGAAGCAAAATTAAAACTATTAGGAGAAATTTGAGGGTTGTTCGGGCTACCCCGGGCTACTCATAGGTCCGCCCCTTATTACACCTTTGTGGAATTCATGCTTCTTTTGATTGTAAAAGCAATCAATCTATAGTGATACGTCAACATCATCGTTAATTTTTTAACGATGTGTGATCAAAGTGAGACTAAAACATAACGTTTTGTATGATTTTAAAAAATAGTTGAGTGACTAAAATAAAACCGTATGAATAGTTGAATGATTAAATATATAATTTAAAAATTTTAATTAAAATTTATTAAATTAAATTAAAATTACAACAAATTTAGCACGAACCAAACGACCTTAGTGGTTAAAGAATTGTTGTTATTCATTGAGATCTCGGATTCGAGCACCGTATATGTAAAAGGTGTATGAGAGTTTGTGTCAAATAATTGAGAGTTTTGAACATGTATTATCTTGTATTCACCCCGAAGGTAATAAAAAAAGATAACAACCAATTTAATAGAATAGTAACATAAATCAAATATACAATTATACAAAATGTTTAATTGTCATATCATTTACTTTGTTAAATATTAACACTTGAATGAGATTATCTACGTAATTAAATAATTTGATTAATAAAGTTAAAACATAAATAATTAATTTAAAATCGTTTTATAATTAAATGATGATGGGTGTAAATATGGGTAAATTATACAAATGGTCATTTATCTTTGAATCAATTTTGTTTTTTCCATTAAAGTTTCAAAACTAACTAATGGGTCATTAACGTTATTGATTTATAACAAATTGATCATATGAGACGTTACAAAGAGAACAGAATGCTGAGGTGGAGTGTTAAGTCAACTAACTTGACTGTTCAACGAACGAAATAACCAATCAAAACCCATTAACATTGTCTTCTTCTTTTCCATTTCACTCAAAAGGCTCTCACCTGATTCAGTCCCTACCAAAACTCATGGTTCAATCTTCCAACCCCATCGATTTGAATTCAAGAGAGAGAAACCATTTTGAATTCCAACCCGATTTGCGAGCTCAGTGTTGGAAAGAGTTATAGTCAACTGTGTATAACAACATATCACTATAGCAATCAAGGTTGTGGTAGAATCCATATTTTGATGTTTCATTTTTATTGTTAATGATTAGTATAAAGTAATTATAAGATAATATATGTTTAAAATATTTTTTAATCATTGACAATATACCTACAAATATAACTGCTTAACTCAAAACATAAAAAAATAACATTCTCTTTAATCGCTAAAGACACTTGAGATTTAACGACTTGAGAAAAATTATAACACCTATGGGTGCCTTAAATGTGGTTTGTTTAACATGCTCATGAAGAAAATTTATTGAATAAATGTTTTAACATGGAGAAATGCTAGGGTAATAACATGAGGAGTACTCATATTTTACTTTATTCGATGAATGGGTTATGCAAGTAAAACAAACGTATTATAATAATTATAATAAGTCAAACTTCGTAATTTTAAATTGTTTTGAACTTGAAGAGACCAAAAGGACACCCAACGAGCACAAAGGCTCCCCCAAGCTTATTTGTCTGATTTCACAACCTAAGGGCCCGTTTGGTTCACGTCATATTTCATTCTTGCCAGTAATGTTTTTTTCGAGGTAACGATATCCATGTTTGGATGAGCTTCATTCTCAAATGCATGTAAAGAATGAATACCAACAGTGAGAATTTTTCCTCTTTTACTGGGAATATCAATCCCCCGTCTCTCTTAGGTATTTGCTTATTCTCGATTCCCGTTGTCTAAAATACCCTTCTCCCCGCTTGGTTCTGACTGAAAGAAAATATGTTTCTTCTTCGATTTGACGTTCAAATTTTCTTATGGCGTATTAGTCTCCCATCTCCCTTTTAGGTATTTGTTTTTACCGTTGATATTTTCAACATTTTTATTTGATTCTTGACGTTGATATTTCAATTTGTTTCATTGTTCAATTTTTATGGGTTTGTGTTTTCACTCACGTTTCTGTATTTTCTCTACTATATTGATCTGCTCATTATTTTTCTAATTTTTATGGGTTTGTGGGACTAATTGAGATGCAACTATTTTTCAATGCACCCAGAATTTGAGCTCAATTGAGTTGCAGCAGTTAAACTCATTCAAAATCTAAGGAGTTATCCATCTTTCATTGAAAAACCATGTATGTTTTCATAGATGTGAACCTTTTCTTCTTCGTTTATGAAACTAATGCATTGTTTATTGAACTGGAACTTCTATCTGTGTTTGGTTTGATTTCTTCTGGTTTTTAAATGAACACAAATGATTAAGAGAAATATAACACATCAACTGGAAAAACACTGACCTTGTAATGACTTGTCGACATAAATTGCATAAAATTAATTGAACGGTAAGAAATAGATAAAATATTAGTTGAACCGTAAGAAATAGATAAAATCAGGATAGAAAATTAAAGCCGGAGTACAAATTCGGCTTCTGCAGTTCAGCATATGTTCGGAAACAAGCTCTCTAGATAAATGTCATGCTAATTACAGGTTAACTACGAAAGCTAAACATGTTTAACCTTGCAAGGGCAGCTTTTGTTAAATCCGGCCTGTAGTAGTAGTTCGTCGCCTGCAATATCAAATCATGGAACATTGGACAAAATTCATGTAAGAACTGCTATGTCAAGAAACGAATTATACAAGTACAGTTTCAGAATATCATTGCAAATGAACATTACACAGAAGGGGTTTAGAATATTATTGAAAATCTATATCCGAATGGGTACCGAGATCAGAGAGATTCTTAATACCTTTTGAATTTTTAGTTTAGTTATATCATTGAATAATAATTTGTATGTTGCACGTTTCAAGTAATTGGGTCAGAGTTTTTGTTCGGTTTTTTGCATCTATATTAGGTTAGAGGATCTTAATTTGACTTTTCTTTTCATATTGCATTTTTAACTTTGTTAGTTTTAGTTTAGTTATATCATTGAATCTCCTCCCACAAAGTTCTGAGTAGACATGCAGAAAATAATGTTGCATGAATCTAAATGGTTAATTGAGTGAAAAGGATATTAGAAGAAAAATGGCTACTCACAGCCCAAGTGAAAAGCAATGTGACATCTGCAGCCGTCTTTTCAGTGTCAAGCATCTTGGTATCTCTTATGTCATGTCATTCTTGCCCATGATCTGCTTCTTGCTTCGTTATTACTTGCTGTATTCTATAATATTGTCTGCAATCTTAAGTAGAATTTATGGTATTCTTTGTAGGCCGATTCTATGCATTTGAGGTTGGATCCCACTTCTAGTGGACGTGGTGTTCGCCAATTTAAAACTGCACTCCTGCAACGTCTTGAAAGAGTGAGTAAACTAGTCTTAATCTAACGGTTTTTCTTATTATATGCTTTAAAAGCCTTTGAAATGTAGAAATGTTTTGGCAATTTGGGTAATGCAGTGTGACAATAACGGCATGGTCCTTTAGCACTGAGGTTTAGTAATCTGTGAACAAATAATGGATAATCTATTTACTATATATTTTTATGACTGTAAAGAATTTTTATTTTGCTAAACCTGTTGTTCTTGGAGTTGCCACAATGAAATTAAGCTGCTTTGTACAAGAGGAAAAGAAATGAAACAGGAGGGAACTGGGTCTGCACCCTTTTTTAACAATTTTTATTTTCTTTTCCTGAGAGTTGTTATGTAGAACTTTGGGATTGTTTAAAGCTAATTCTAGGCTTTTGGCTTCTTTCTTGTGAATGTAATTTACCACTTTTGATTTCAAATCTCTGGATGTGAAAGATATTATAATTATTAAGGTTTGTAGAAGATTTTGGAAGCTCAAGATAAAGTTGCAGAACAAACACTGATTTTGGTCCCCTACAACATCCTTCCTCTTGATCCTGATAGTGCAAACCAGGCTATTATGCAATATCCTGAGGTATGTCTTAAATTTGTATATTTTCTGATGATCTGTTTTGAACTAACAATTTTCTTTTCCTTTCTTTCATATTTACCATAATGCAGATCCAAGCAGCTGTTTATGCTCTTCGTAACACAAGGGGTCTACCTTGGCCCAATAATCACAAGAGAAAGAAAGATGAAGACGTTCTTGATTGGCTTCAAGAAACGTTTGGGTTTCAGGTGAAAAATAAACAAACTAGAAGTACATTTTCTTTTATCTTCTTGACAAGTGAATTTAGTGTCGTGTAGCTACCTTGTAAATATTTGAAATCTGATGGTAAAACATTTTTGAAAGTTGGTTCAATATGCTTTTGGACCTATACTCATCTCAGTTGTATCTCTTCAGAAAGATAATGTAGCAAATCAAAGGGAACATCTGATCTTATTGCTTGCGTCCACATACGACAGTTTCCAAAGCCTGATCAACAACCAAAGGTGTGCTTGCAAATGTCAAGTTGATATTTTCTTCTTCTTTGTGAGCATGAACTTTCAATCACAAATATAGAATGGTGATGGTTACTTCTATCCCCTTTTTATCTTATTGAATGTCTATTTCATCTGCAAAATTTTTCCAAAGTTTTGGTCAGTCCTTAAACTTTTACCGGAGTAAATTTGTATTATAGTGTTATTGAGTTTGTTCAGTAACGTAAAGGGTATTTTTAGTTCCATGTGTATGTGTACATGCATTTTTTTCCTTTCAATTTTTGGAACAAACATTTTTTGGCTAAATATTCATGTGGTGGAAAGTGGACCCATATTAACCAGTGTTAGTATGTAATTGTTCTTTTTCCCCCAGTTTTTTTAAGTAACTTCCCAACCTTATAAATCTCTATTATAGTCCTTATGTAGTTTCACTCTTGGCACTACTAAGCGAGCAATATGGTTTCTCCTTGTCTGCCAAAAACTGTTATAGATGCTGTTTGTAAATCGAAAGAATTCAACAATGAAAAGTTAAGCATTTATATGAAAAATTAAAAGCACTGAATTTATGATATTTGTTTTTGTAAGCTATTAAAAATTGAATGTTCAAGTAGATTTTGTATTTGATCTCTTATAAGTGATATATTTATAGATATTTTTTCTTTAATCAAAAGTTCAAAGGGGAAAAATTATGGTTAAAAGGAACATTTAAGATTAATGTAGTTGATTATAAAAAATTTCTTCGAGTGAAATTAATTTAATACATCATGTATACTATAATTTTTTCTTCACTTTGTATATTAAATCATTCCTCAAGTCATATTAAATCACTTTTCATACTAGAATATAAACCTTATCGATTGAAAAATACAAGAAACCTCCCAGTAAATACATCACGTATAAACCGAAACTAATTTCCACAATGTAAACATTTAGTTAAATGTTGATGTAAAAATTTAATATATTTTTATATAAATTATGTAAAATTTAATATTAATTAAAATTAAAATAATACATAATATATTTAAATACGTAATATATTATCAACAAATAATTTTTTTATATAAATATTTTTTATTTAAATATTTAAAATTTCACTTGTTAAAAAATATAGACCAAAGATAATTTGATAAAATATACATTCCAATAATCTTTTATTCTTTCAAACAAACACTGTAATCTACATGCCAAACCAACCAAACACAATAATATAACATTCTCAGTAATCCTATTCCCTGAAAATATTTTATTCTCACAGATAATCTTACATTCTGTGAACCAAACACACCATAAATTCCATGAGCAACGAAAAAAAAAGCCTAATATCAATACCGAACTTAACTACGCTAAAAATGGCACAATATACCAAAAGACTGTTCTCAGTATTTGTAGTCCTTGACATGAAGGCTTTCGGCAGCACCCTCCCCAAGCTTTGCATCACCCTTATAGGTACCCAGTGTGGCCTCCGAGTTAGCCTTGCACCTAATAAGGAAAGCATCTTGTGCCTTCTGCAAGTTCTCCTCCTTTCCAGACCAGGCCTTTAGAGTACTCTGCTGAAGGGCACGTCCGAAAGAGAACGAGAGTGACCATGGCTTCTTGGTCTGGAGCTTGTTCGTGGCATTAAGGTTAAGGATAGCTTCTTCCTCACTTTGTCCACCAGACAAGAATACAATAGCTGGAACTGCAGCAGGGACGGTACACTGCAAGGCAGGGACGGTGTACTCTGCGATAACCTCTGGTGCAACCTTAGGAGAGTTGGAACCCGGGGTCACCATGTTAGGCTTCAAAAGGGTACCTTCAAGAATGACATGGTCGTCATTTAGAGCCTTGTAGCAAGCCGCAAGAACACGCTCTGTAACTTCAGCACACTTTTTAATGTCATGAGATCCGTCAACAAGAATTTCGGGCTCGACAATGGGGACAAGGCCACACTGCTGGCAGATGGCAGCATACATGGCTAGCCCATTGGCATTTTCTTGGATTGCAAGTTCAGATGGCTCATTAAGGCCAATCTTAAGAACAGCACGCCATTTGGCAAAGCGAGCACCTGCAACATAATACTTCTGGCATCGCTGTGCAAGACCATCAAGACCCTGAGTGAAAGTCTCACCATTAGTTCCATTAAGCTCAACTGTACCCTTGTCGACTTTGATACCAGGGAGGACACCGCCTTCCTTCAAAACATCAACAAAGGGCTTTCCTGCACATTGAAAATAAACAATCATAAATTAATAACCATCAATACATTCTTTGTATAACAATCGTGTTTTGTGATAATACCTGAAGCAGTTTTTTGATAGAGGGTTTCCTCAAATAGAATAACACCACTAAGTATTGAAGAGTTCCTGGAGTGGTAAAGAGGAGCTCACGCAGAGCACGTCTGTTTTCTTCAATATTCTCGACATTAATGCTCGAAAGACGCTTTCCAATTGTGCCAGTGGATTCATCAGCAGCAAGGATACCCTTTCCTGGGGTGCCAATGTAGGATGCGTTCTTGGCTAACTCATCTACAATATTCATGATTCAAAACAAATAAACAAGCCACCAACTTCCCATTAAAGATTTAACAAACAGAGATCCAAATGTTAAAAAAATGAAGCAAAATAAGGGTGAACGGATAAGGTTTCAGTAATATGAGATCTAAAATGAAAAAAAAACCAAGTACATAATTACGTTTAGTACCCGACTTTCACTTTTGTTCTGTTTGGTCACCCAACTATTTTTTTTCGTACAAAATGGAACAAAAGTGATAGTTGGAGTACCAAACGCGTAGTTTACCCAAATAATTAACAAAAACAACTTAATTCATCTTCTTTTCCCACCTTAATCTTGAATCAGATGAAATCATAACACTTTTAAGCACATCTAGTACTAATAATTAAATTAAAAACTTTCAACTACTAAATATTCAAAAAATACTGCTCAGCTAAAAAGAAAGATTGGAGAGATAAATAAGTGTATTCATGCAGATCTGGATCTTCAGAAATTAAAACCCCCTCCAAAAAAAGAAAGAAAGAAAGAAAGAAAATAAAACAAGTTGAATGGATTTAGTTTATATTAAAAATTAGGGAAAATCAGTTATGTTTCTTTAGATTAAAAAACACCGAACAAATAAATTTAGTTAATACCCACTGACAAGTAGATCGCAACAAAAATGAACACGAGTTCAGAAGATCCTAATAAAATCAATATATCAAGGAGATTATAAAGATAAAATCAACGCCAAAGAGAAGGGAAGGGTAATTACCGGCGTATTTGCTAGTGAAGCAAGACATGATTGAAGTGTAAAGTAAACGAGAAAGGAAAGATTTTATTGTTCGGAACGTAGACAGGGAAAGACGAAAGTGAGGGAAGATGGAAGGGGCTAGGGCTTTTAAAAGGGAAGGATTTTGAGTTAAAATGTATGGGCTTCGAGATTGTGTCTATATTTTCCCCTTTTGTCGTCTCTCTTAGATCTCAGGTGTTTTTTTCCCTTTTCTTTTTTTAAATTAAAAATAAATATTTAAATTATTTTCTAAAAGTTTAAGATTTTTTAGTTAAATCCATTATCGATGTTTATATTTTCATTTTATTATTATTTTAAGATTTGATAAGTGATATAAGTATATATATATATATATATATATATATTATTTATTTATTTATTCTCTTATATCTTTGTGTTTTAATTTATCCAAAAATTTATATTTTATCAAGAATTTATATTTTGTAAGTATTGGAATGTGTTAGACATAATCTCTACCTTAAACAAGAATTTTGGTGAAATTAGAACACTTGTAACAAAATAAAACTAAGGTAAAGAGCACATGGACGAGAAATCCTTCAATTTTAAACTCTAATATTTATTTTGTAGGGCAAATTATGTATTTAATCACCAGATAATTTTCGTAGTTTCGTTTTGGTTAATTCATTTTTTTAAAATAATACATATAGTTCTATTTTAGTTATGTTTAAAATTAACAATGATGCTAGTGTGACATCATAAAATTATACCACGTTATCGTTAAAAATTATCACATCAATAGTTTTTTTTAACGGTGGATGATCAAAATAGAATTTTAGGTATGATTTTTTAAAAATAGTTGGATAACCAAAACGAAATTGCAAAAATAGTTGAGTAACTAAATACATAATTTATCCTAAAAATATTGATAGTTTATAAATGAAATAATAAATATATAGGTAAACTACAGCTTTAGTCACCCAATTATCACTTTGATTTTGTTTGTCACCCAACTATTTTAAAAATTTTGCTTTCATTTGACCATTTGCCGTTAGAAAATTAATAAAACTACTGATGCAACATTTCTTTTTATTTTTCGATGATGATATGTCATTATATTATGTGATTAAAATAAAATAAAAACGTAGCTTTAGTGATGATTATAGAAAAAAAATAATCAAATGATCAAAATGAAACAAAAATGATAGTTAGATATAGAGTGAACATTTGTCGGATTTCAATCCGATCCGGATCGGTTTTTATCCGATCCGGTTTTTTTCTCATAGAAAAAAACCGGTTTATAAAATAACCGGTTCGGTTTTTAACCGGTTTGGAGGGCCGGATATCCTAACCGGTGTAACCGGTTTCGGTTTTAAAAAAACCGGTTTTTTTTAAAAACCGGTTATAAAAAAACCGATTTTAATATTCCAGATTGCTCATAGGGAACCGATTCCCCCCCAAGGGGGTACCGATTCCTCACTGAATGGTTTGGCTCCGAGATTTCCAGAATGCTCGGAGGGAACCGATTCCCCCATAGGGGGTACCGATTCCCCCATAGGGGGGTACCGATTCCCCCTATTCAACGGTCGAAATATTTGAATTTTACACTTAGGGAACCGATTCCCTATGAGAGGAAACCGATTCCCTATGAGAGGGTACCGATTCCCCCACGCTCCAAGCATTTTTATTAAATGTTTTCACACTTAAACGGCTATATTATCTTCATTAATTATCACTAACGTTCAGAAGTGATTCAAGGTGTATTTAAGCAAGCTTAGAAGCCATTGATCAAAGACAAGAAACATCAAGCAACTAGAATCAAGAGAGAATCAAAGAGAAAGCATCAAACCTCAAGTTCGATAAATTCAAATACTTAATTGAAATGCTTAATTAACTCAACATAATTGAAATACTTAAATACTTCCAAGTTTGATAAATTCAAATACTTAAAAACTTCCAAGTTCGATAAATTCAAATACTTAAAAACTTCAAGTTCGATAATTGAAACAAAGTTTACGATAATTGAAATAAAGTTATAAAATAAACTACATTGCCATCTCTTCTTCATCATCTTCGCCTTCTTCGTTTGGAGGGATATTCCAAGTTCGACTTCTTCAATGTGTAAGTTTGCTTCCAAATCGGCATCAATTGCATCTTCTAGGGTGGTGATATGTTGCTTACGAGCCGCTCCATCCAAATAATCCTTTAAACAAATGCATACTTCCACCGACTCGGGACTTAGTCTTGATCTCCGTTGCGATATAACCCTGCCACTAACAGAAAAAGCGGATTCCGAAGCTACCGTAGAAGCTTGGACGGTTAGTAAATCACGGGCCATGGCGGCTAGAATCGGAAATTGTGCTTCCTTTTCTTTCCACCAAGCCAAAATATCCAAACTTTCAAACTTTTCAAATGTCATTTTTGATAGAAAATTGCATGACATATAATTTCCCAACTCGCTACTTGGGGTGGTAGTACGTGATCGTTTGGATTGGGAATTTACAAGAGTGTTAAAAAGATTCAAATTTATGTTACTTGGACGTCTACTAGATGATTCCGCATTCATTCTCATTTGATCGTGTATTACACTACTTGATCCGTATTTAGTTAAATAAATTGCAATCATGTCTCGAAAACATTTGTTAAAATAATTTATTTGGTTTTGGACAAAGTTGGGTTCATCATCGGTTAGATTAAAAGCAAACGCAATTTGTTCAATTAGTGTTTCAACCCCACCAACATTTAACGTTGGGTTTAAAGCGGCGGCACAAGTAAAAATGGGGGGAATCTCCTTAAAATATTTTAAAAGTTTTTCATTCATTGCAAAGCCAATTTCTTGAAAAACTTCGGTTTCAAATTCAAAGTCATTTAGTCGGGTAGCCAACAAAAATATTTGATTAAGAACCAACGGGCTAGTAGGGTAATAAACACCGGATAAAAAAGTTGTTGCATTTTTAAAAACCTCAAGCAAATCGGTTATTTTGGCTATAGTTTCCCAACTCGAATCCGGATAAATGTTTGGGACATGACCCCTCTCGAAAAGCCGATCGTGAAATGTTTGCAATGTTTCCCTTTGCCTTAAGGCAGTATGCATCATCATCCAAGTTGAGTTCCAACGAGTTGGACAATCCAAATTAGGACCCAAAGCTTTTTTATTAACGGACTTACAAAATCGTTTATAATCATTTAGTCTTTTGTTGTTGTTACAAAGAACCGATTTTATCATTGTTTTAAATTCTAATCTAATCGGCTCAATAACCTCCAAATCGGCTTGCACGGATAAATTAATTATGTGTGCAACGCAACGGGTATGAAAAAACGCACCGTCTAAAATCGGTGAAAGTAATATTTTCAATCTTGGAACCGCGTTTGTATTATTCAATGCATTATCAAAGGATATAGAAAAAACTTTATTTTCTAATTTATAAAGACAAATTACCCTTTTTAAAAGTGTAAATAAATTAGCACCGGTATGCGGCTCACCGAATAATTCAAACGCGATTGTTCTTTTCATCATTTGCCAATTATCTTGATCTAACCAATGTGACGTAACGGCTAAAAAAGAATTTCCGGTATTATTAGGGGAACTCCAAACGTCACATGTAAGCGACACACCATAACGGTGTTCTTGGAATCCTAAAATCATTTTTTCCCTCACCGTACGCCACATTTTTATAGCATCTCTTCGAAGGGTAGTACGACTTACTTGAGTATAACGTGGTTGCATTAGTTGTTGAATTGTTATCGTGAAATCTTCATCATCAAAGTGGTCGAACGACAATGCTTTTGTAATCACGAACTTTGTAAACGCTTCTCGTAATTTTTCGTTGTCGTAAACAAAAACACTACCTTGCGGTGTAAGATTCGATTGACTAGGATCCGATCTTGAGCGAAGTACCTTGCATGATTTTGTCAAATGGTTCTTCAACGTTGTGTTTCCTTCCGATGCAAGAAATTTTAGACAAAGTTTACAACGCGCCCTCCTCGAGCCATTTGACATCTCACATAAATCTTAGTGATCCCAAATGTCTTTGTTTCGAGTGTGTTCGATCACTCTCACGACTTCAAGGTTTCCCCCGACGGAAGATTCAGCCGTGTTACTCATGATGAACAAAAAATTACAAAAGTAAGATTTGAGAGATGTTTAAGTGTTGTGTAATAAGATTTGAGAAATTTGTAATCAACCAAATACATCCCCAACCTATTTATACATGTTTAGGGTGGTAAAATGGAAATTTTTTAAAGAAAAAAACGATCAAAAATGGTCACAAAACCCCCACAACGGCTATATTAACGGCTAGTTTTTTAAACCCAGACCGGTTTTTTTTTTCCGAATAAAAACCGGTTTTAACCGGTTTTTTTCAAACCGGTTTTTTATCCGGTAAAAAAACCGGTCTAGGTTTTTTTCTCCAAACAGGTTAAAATAACCGGTTTAAAAAAAATCCGATCCGGTTAAAAAAAACCTTTTTTTCCCAAATCCGGTTTCGGATATTTTTTTCGTAAAATCGAATATTCGGATTTTTTGTGCACCCCTAATTAGATAACTAAATTTATAGTTTACCCTAAATATACTTAAAATTGATTGGGCGCTGGGTGGGCCGATGTAGCTTCCAAGGGAGACTTGAATATCATCAAAATATCTTGGAGTGTTCTTAATCTTGAGATCTAATAAACTGAATTAGTCATAATTAAATTAATTGATTTTTTATTTAGTTGTTCATTGAATCAATTTTTCTAAAAATAATTATTGAACAGAATTTATTTAAGATGATAATAAGTTTGAACTTATAATATATACAATATTTTTTTAAAATCATTTAACATCTAATTAACCAAATTAAATTTTAGTTCGATTGCTGTTTATTGGATCCGCCATCAAAACTGATATGCTTGTGAAAGAAATTGCCTTTCCGTATGCCGGACATCGGACGGTCTATTTTTTTTGCTGCCGATCATTTCATTGCATCTCCTGCCTGAGTCGGGGCAGCTCTTTAATAAGCGACTCTGCAGATGGAGAAAAGTTTAGCAGTCTAAAGGTTTTGATTCTTCCACAGCTTCTTCAACAGCTTTAATGTTTTCTGCCGGTTGCAATTTTCCAATCGGTTTTCGTTCATCTTCAACTAGTGCATAAACCACCGCTGTTCGACACGGTGCATATACCAATAAAGAACGAGGGCGGTCATCGTACAATCCTTCCTGGAAAAGAATGGTATGTAGGAAGAGTACACTGAATTCAGAAATGAATGGTGTTCAGCGAATTTACTTACACTGCTGAAGTACTCAACATCATGTTTAAGCCTGTTGAAGCCTCCAAATAATGGATCATCTGAATCCAATACAATCTGGGAGAGCAACAATATATATATATATATATATGTGTGTGTTAAATCACGAGTGACGACGGAGGGTTTGATGAGAAAACAAAAGAATTCATTATATAAACTTCAAAATCTTGTACCTTATATTTTCCAGGCCATAGACAACCAACACGGTAATCAAAGTAGCTTTCATGCCAGTGAAAGTTGAACACGAAAACCAGATTCCCTCTTTCGAAAACAATTATTCGATCTCCTTCATCCTTCCGTGATATATATTGGTGCTCGGAAGTCATGAACTGAATAAACAATCACCCAAACATTCATTTACGTTCTAAACAAGTGGAAGTAAATCTTTTTGGCTAACCGAAACAACACCGTTTGTTCAAATCTCGTTGCATGAAATGGGTGGTTGTTGTGGAAGAACATGAACAAAGTCTAATATTAGATCAGAGGTATAACACAGTATCTTAGGGATAAAATATGGAGCAACAAAACAGTAAGCATCAACATACTCACGCCATACTTATCTTCAACATGTTGCATTGCCTTGTCAAATTCTTGCATCCCATGATACCTAAGATTACCTGCATCTCCCTGTGTACATATAACCGAATAATATTTGGTTGTTTGATTGTAAAACACAAATTTATATATAACGCTTCCGGTAGCCAGATGAAAGTAAATCGTATTACCATCAAATTTAAATTGAAGAGAACTTACAAGATCGAATCTGCGCCGACATTTATCATAACTGAAATTATTCCCAGGAATTACTTTGCCACTATGAAGACGCTGCTCTCCCCTTGGAAAATCGATCCACTCTGAGGAAAGGAATAGCGGGGAAATTATATCACGCCATTCAAATTAAAGAATGATGACATGTTAGGAAGAGTTGCAACCAATAGATCTTACCAGGATGTCCAAATTCATTTCCCATGAAATTCAAATATCCTTCTCCACCTAGTCCCATGGTAATAAGCCTAATCATTTTGTGTAATGCTATTCCACGATCTATAAGTGGTGTACTCGGTTTATCTAGAGCCATAAAATCATACATATCCTGCAAAAAGGAGTTGAAACTGTAGAAATTGTAGCGCTGAATCAGACCGATTAAACACATTTTCTCCGTTTAATAAATAACAACAAAATATAATTGAAAACTTCTAATAGCTAGAGAGGCCAAAGAAAGCAAAGATTGTCAAGTAAAAGCATTTCTTTTAGCCAGTCAGCTTTCTGAGTATGAACATAAGTAAGAGCCTAATTTACCTTATCCATCAACCAGAACGCTATTGTTTTATCACCAACTAGAGCTTGGTCATGGCTTTCAGCATAGACACACACTTTTCCAACCACCTCCTGTTGGTGAGTGTGTGAATAATATCGCCCATTTGCCATTCTTCATCCCTCTTCCTATATGACAAAACGAATCAAGAAGTACACATCAGTTTAAAACCAAATACGTTCACAAGATAGTTTCTTTAAAGTATTCACATGATTAAAAGTTTGGATTAGAAAGTTAAGTACTTGAGAAGCTCAATCCATTTATCAGCAACGGCCATGTGTAGACGGTAATCAAATCCCACACCACCATCTTGCACAGGAAGGCAGAATGTAGGCATTCCACTTACCTGTAGAATATAGGCGAATGGTTAACATAACAAAAATCTTGGCTGCTGACATTTTCCAGAAAGAATAACTCATCTTGATAACATTCCTCTACTGGTTTCAGTCGTTATTCAATTGTTTATTTATGACAGGTGTCAATTTAAGATTCTGGAAATCCACATTCAACTTTTGTTTCTTTTCCAACTGTCTTACCAGAATATTCACAATCTTTCAAAATGTTATTTTGAAAGTATACGAAAGTATGCAACAAAATCACTCCACTAAACCATATAATAATCATAAGTATATGAAAGTAAGCAACAAAATCACTCCACTAAACCATATAATAATCATAAGTATATGAAAGTAAGCAACAAAATCACTCCACTAAACCATATAATAATCATAAGTATATGAAAGTATGCAACTAAATCACTCCACTAAACTATATTATAATAATAATAATAATAATAATAATAATATTAATAATAATAACAAAATGCCATTCCAATAATATTTCTTGTATTTTGTTATGCTAGTAGCCTTTTAGGTGAATTCTTTGCGCAAAAGATAAAAATTGTAAAACAACAAGAATAGTTTAAGGTTTCTACAAATTGTTGTTCCTTCCCTTCAGTTGATTTTTGCATCTTTAGTAGCTCTGTTTACATAATTCTTGGCCTATAGTAAAATATAGTATTTCCATTTGCATAAAGTACTTTAACAATTCTTCATTTCATTCTACAATATCAAATACACTTAAACAATAGCATGGTAACCTCCACATTCATGGCATATGAGCATATTTGATGCATGAAGAGAAGTGATGAAGCATAATAGTAATAGTAAAACATGCAGAACACAAAAACAATTGGTAGGCTACTGCACACAAATGTAAATGTGCAAAATTATTCAAAACCATTTGTACCCTTAGCATCCGCATGCACATAAAATGCTTCGGAACCCTATTCTATCTACCCAATCCAGTGCAGAAAATGTTGCTGTATAAGAGATGATCTTAAAATTGAATGTCTACTTCAGGAATAGACAACTGATTATAAGTATTAGGGTACTCAATGTGACTTGGAGAAGATAACATACATCTTCACCGATGGTGACAGCCTCAGGATAGAGCCCGTGAATCATATCATTAACCAGCATCAGATAAATGACAGCATCTACATCAGTTGCAAATCCAAAGTACTCATTGTAATTTCCTGTAAACGTTACCTACAGCAGGTTCAGAAAAGCACATAATAAGATGAGATGATACATTGTAAAGATGTAGTGACACTGACACCCTTTAGTCTGTTAAGAAACAAACAGAGAATTGTGAATAAACAAATCCCCTCTCTTGTTTTAAATGTCACTTTATCCCCCTTGCCTATTAAGGGTGTTAGTAGCTTTCCTTTTAACGAAGTTTTATTTTATTTGTAGGCTATACTCTTGTTTTCAACTTATTTTAGTTTATTCATATCAATTAATCAAAAACTTAATCCAAATACCAAATATTTCTCATAATAAAAGAAAATTCAAATAATATTTTGGAGCGGAAGACAAAAACTGTAAACATCTTTTCTATGGAAGCCTGAAACATGAAAAAGAAAATGAAATTGTACTTTATTCTAGGATTTTGCTAAGAATCTATTTTTAAAGACTCGATTACATTGTGGATCCTCCTTGGGGTTGTGCTGACAAGGCAGTATTCGGTAACATGGTTCTAGTGTATGATCTATCTAACATATTTTACCAGTGCAATAACCAAATCTTACATCGATTCCAGTTCTCTATATAACATAAGACTTCAACACTGAATATCTGGACATGCAAATAATTTTATTATGTAACACCAAGCAATATAGAAATCTCTAAACTCACTCGGACAATACCTGCAACCCATGATGGGTGTACATCATTGAAGTCACACCATCAAATCTGAAACCATCAAACTTGTATTCTTCCAGCCACCATCTTGCATTTGAAAGAAGAAACCTGACCACCTAGAGCAGCATTTAAAAATTAGATCCAATAGGAAGGGAGGAAACCAAAATCTTTCAACTGTCTATAACAAGTGACCATATAATATAAGTTTCAATATTAGTACATACTTCCCAGCTTCCGTAATTAAAAAGGCGAGAATCCCACATCCAGTGGTGGCCCTTTGACCCAGAGTGGAAGTAATGAGAATCAGTTCCATCAAACATGTTCAACCCATCCAAAACATTATTAGATGCATGGCTGTATTCATAAAAGAATCAGTCAGATGAAAAGATGGATGAGAAATTTTAATAGTAACCTAATTTAAGTAAAGAATACAAATTAATTGAGACGTGTCAGCAAAAAATTGCTTGCTCAAGGCAACAGATCAAATACTTAAGCAACCAATTGCTTCTACAGCTCATAACATAAAATTTTCTTTGTAAAACAATATGCTGAGGTACCATTTGGTTATTGTTTTTGCTACTAGTTTTTGTTTCAACAAGCAAAAAGTACGTTTGGATAGAAAGAATGAAACAAACTTCAAAGAATTAAAAAGAATACTGTGATTTTCCTTTTAATGCAAAAAATATAGTAGAAATTTTATTACATTTTCTTCATACATATATATATATATTCAATCAATTATGACTTTTTTCCTCCCATTTCGGTTTTCAGTAATCTTTTATAAGAAAAAAATGGCCATATTTGCATAAAGCCTAATAGAAATGAGTGTAGATTCGAGGCAGGAAAAGAAGAATTTTATATTCACTTTCAAATGGAAAAACATAAGGGAAAAACCATTTGCATAAAAAATATAACAGCAAATAAAGCTAAGGGGCTTATTTCTAGAAAAGCTATCTCCTAAAAGTCTAAAGCTTACCTGTGCACAATATCCATAAGAACAAACAGACCCAACTCATGAGCCCTGTCTATCAGTGACTTAAGATCATCTGGGGTTCCAAAGCGGCTGCTCGGTGCAAAGAAATTTGTCACATGGTACCTGCAACATATTAAATGGAACTTGATAAAGTAGAAGAGTTCAGGTTCGATAACCAAAATCTCAATTGTAAAGAAATGTTTCTGTTTACACCCATAACATAGCAGTTTACTACAGGTTAACAAACATAAACAACAAGAAATAGATTTGAGATAGTATTATGATTGAGATGATACCCAAAGCTAGCGTAATATGAGTGCTCTTGAATAGCCATGATCTGAACCGCATTATATCCAAGTCTCTTAATGCGGGGAAGCACATCATCTCTAAAGTTGGCATATGTATTAATTTTTGGATCCTGCATCTCAGAGTTGATAATATAAGAGAAGTAGGAAATGGGTTAGCTATACCACAACGTATCAAGGAAAATAAAAGCTCAATATGTTCGTGAGAAAAATATTTCTTTTAGAAACAGTGTGCATGAAAGTTCATCCACTTACAAAACGAGTAGGATTTACAAAATGATTGGAAAGGAAGTAAAATCTTCAAAGCTCACCACGGCATAATGAGGCAACGTATAAGATTAAATGTTGATTGATGCACAATCAACGTTAACGACCAATAAAACAAAGAACCAACTAAAGAGAGGCCAAAGATAAACTGTCAGAATCTTCTTTTGCAAAAGCAAACATCTTAAAACGTGATATTTATGGTCTTCTTCACAAATAGTTGGATAATTTCCTCAAAAGCACATTCTTAACATCCAAGCATTTGATTCAAGGATAAATGTGTAGGTTCATTTACTCAAATAGTTGGATTATTTTCCTTCTTCATAATCATATTATATAAAACTTGTACATAATGTTGAAAGGCTAAACTCATAGGTAGTGAATTTAACTACTCTAATTCAATTTTTTTTAAATGTAAACTGAAAAGAAAAAGAAAATTAGAAACATGTTTTGTCTTAGCTTCATATAATAAACATGTCATGGAGAAATCTGAAGATACTTCTAGAAACAAAATAATTAATAAGTCTACATAGACACAAATTAGGCCAGAAACTAAAATTCAAAAAAAAGAAATTAATGAGAAGTAACAAAGAGACAAAAGGAATGTCCATGTTGAGACATATAGTTTGTGAGTGCTTAAACAGTAACTTGGATTGAGTTTTATTATATTTAGTAACATGTAGCAAAAACAAAAAAAAATGGACTATTTGTTACCATTCTCACATTGAAGAACATTAATCGTCTTTTAGCAGGCATATAACTAGAATATTAAACTCAAGAAACTCAGAAAGCTCTTAAAACTATATTTGTAATACCATATCCCAGCACCTTGTGGATCCAGAATCCTTATAGTCCTTTTAATAACAATAATAAGAAGAAGAAAATGCAAAATAGTAACAATACTGATTTAATTGCAAATTCAGGCTTCTTGATGAATTTTAGAAATGGATGAAGAATCCTAATGAAATGCAACTCATCCAACTTTAATTTGATTGAATTCTAAGCAGTTAAGCAGGGTTCAAGTCTCAAGCTGTTTGGCATTTGCATTATCTACAAAAGTAATGCTCATAATTTAATGCAATCCAAATGGAACTATTGAGAACTGAGAAAGAAGAGTTGAATAACACTTCAAGCAAGGGAAAGGAGATGCATACCGTGCTACTCATTCCAACATGTGACTCGTAAATTCTAACTGATTTTGGTCTTTTTGGATGGGGGTGTTTGAATACGTATTTTTCCTGTCACCATATAAATTTCATTAGTCAACAAGAGTAACAAAAATTGAGATGAGATATAACAGATTGAATCTGGATGTGATTAAGCGTGAACATGCGATAACGTAAGTCAGAAACTGACTTCTTATATGAAAGTGAACCAACCAAAACTGTCTCCTTCTACACTCCTTTTTATCTGTTTATACTCCTTTTTTTTTTTGCACAAGCAGGCATGCTTTTGTTTAATGCATCTTGACACTCGGACAGTCATTTTTAAAAATATGACATTCACTAGTTGTTACTTCAGATTTTACTCAAAAACTTCAATTATTTCAGCATCTTGAAAAGAATAAGTCATCTAATATTTCCAAGAAAATCACAAGATTAAGCGAACCACAGTAAATATACCTCTTCCGGCGGATCATAGTATATTCCAGTGTATGAGATTCCACCTGGTGCTTGAACAGAGAACTTGATCCAAGCAGGAATGGAATCCTTAATCCCAGATCGAGTTTCCATACAAATCTACAATCATATGGTAAAAAGTTTAAAACGAATGCATCGAAAAGGAGCTTTAGATAAATTGACGTTATCATAACAGTTAACCAGAGAAGGGAAAAAATATCCCCATCTTTTCTTTTAAGGACAGAATTCAAACTCGGCTACCTTGAATAGCTTTGTTCAACTTGGAGAGCATATACCCACTAAATACTTTAATGCCAACATGAACAATACTTTACAACGGCAAAATTATATGGTATTTTGCTTCATTCCATTTTTCTCTGGCAAAGTTTCAGAAAATTAGTCCTACACTAAGCTCTTTGTAGGATATTAAAGTTGCATATATGGTCTTATAAGCAGGTTCTACAACAAGAAGAGCTTCAATAATAGTAATTTTATTATCTCAACTAGTGAAAATTATTCCCACAATTACTAAACTTTTGAATAATAACAGAAAAGAAACTTATTTCACTTTTTCAATAATTTATTAGCACACCTTTGTATCTTATACTGCAAGTTTTTATTCGATAGATATTTCTGTTCATTAGACATGCAATAGGATAAGTGTCGGGTCCACAGATCATGATTAAAAGTTAAATACATTGTTGATTCACACAACAAAACGTTTTAGATTCAGTTTGCTCTGAATTGAAAAAGGGGAGAAAGGAAATAATAAACAAGTAGCATTTGAAAGTAAGCACTAACTTTAAAATCCAAATCTATATTCATTTACAAGTAACATACCTTCACTTGAGAACCATGGGGAATTGCTGGTGAACCATCAGCATTATTAGGCAAAAAGATCTCCCAGACACCAAACTCATTCTGTTAAAAAATAATTCCTTATAGAATTAAATGCTAGACGGAAATAAAAGATGGAATATGTATATCACACACACACAAACACGCATATATAAGACACACAAGACATCACTACCAATATAAGCTAGCATGGCTTTCTAAGAACTTAGCTCACGGTCATGTTCCGTTTTATTCTTGGGACATCAAGGCATTAAATTTTAAACAAGTGAATTTGTTCATACAATTAATTACTACACGGGCAAGGTGACATATCATTATGAAAACTTTGATAATTGTTTATCTTAACTTTTCCATTAGGAGCTTTGAAGTATACCAACTGCGCCAAACTATGCGCCCAATCTTTGGCCCTCTAAGAAGCATTCGTGCACACTTACATATAAAAAGATCGTGTTTACCTTAGCATTAAGCTGTGTTTTGAATACCAAACTTAAATATCTTTAAACTTCTTTCAACATGTTCATTGAGAGACAAGCATCAAATTATGAACAACTAAGAATACAAATACTTCAGATTCATAAGGCTTTAAAAATTTGAAGCACATTGGTCAGTGTCAGAAAGAAAAGGAGGAGGCAGAAGCTCATTAAAAGCAACAAAATGATGTGGAGTTCATTAATAGATATAAAATAGCAAGAAGACTGCCTCAAGGACAAAGAGCTGGGTTACTGATATTTTGAGATGTTTGTAACACCAGTTCTGTCTGCATTATGTAAGACATGCATAGAGGAGAAGGTTAAAAAAGAAACCAAAGCCAAACAGCATGAAGCTTGATCTTAATACAAGCCTTGGCTTGAACTTGATCGAGTTTCATTTTTAAAACTTGAGCTCGATTAGAGATAAAAATCAAACTTTTTGAGATCATACTGATTTACCTGGTAAAAAATAAATTGGATTCTCATGCTCTACTTCAAAGTTCAAACTCAATTATTTGTGCTAGATCTTGAGTTTGAACTAGAATATCTTTTCTGTAGCAATTAAAAATAATAAAATAGATATTTAGAAAAATCCAGATTAGACTCGTGTCATTCGTGTCACACATTAAGATGATTGAACTTCACTTGCTCGATAACTCAAGCTACTCCCGCTTAACTCCTCAACGCCCCAAGCTAAATTCATTTTTTCTGGGCACAGGCAGCAGGTTTTTTTGCAGAAGAAAGCATAAGATACCTGGCTCATAATATCTGCATTAGGGTTCCAATTGTTAAAATCTCCAATCAATGCAGCTGACTGAAACATAAAATGCAGTAAAACAATCACAACAGTGAAGAGAGAGAAAAAAAACAGATTCTAAAGTTAATAAGACTTTTTGATTGAATAGAAGATCACACGATTAATTGTGAAAGTCTTAAAGTGTTAAATGGTACATAACAAACCTTAGCTCCTGGAGCCCACTCCCTGTAAGTTATTCCTGTCTCACTGAAAGCCAGATGAAATTATGATCAGAAGAGCGACATCAAGTTATCATGAAACAACTTATAAGACATGAAACACAATGGAGAACGATGTTTTTCTAAAAGTCAAAGTTAGCAAGATAGGTATTAAGCATTATGATACAAATAAATGCATAGGAAACACGGAGAAGAAAATAAAAAAATAAAAAAATAAAACATATAAAAGTGACATATAAGTTGATGCAACTAAGTATTACACACTTGCTCCATACTTTGTTGAGCATCAGGAAACCTGATTTCTCTCTTAGATTAATCTACCTGAATCTTAAACATATAAAGTAAAATATCAGGAAAATCAAGTATACTGTTCCCACACAAAAGAATTACAAGAACACTCCAACATTAATTTCATTTAATTAAAATTGTAATAAATCAAAACAAAATTACACGATAAAACACAATGACATGCAGCCATGAAAGCTACAAGCCTACAACCAATATGCAACACTATGTAGCTATGGGAAAATAAGCCCATGCTAACACAACTAGGTATTGGTAAGAATGGTAACCTGCGAATGAAGCCAAGCTTCTCATAGCCTCGAGAAAACACCTCCAAGCCACCTTCATACTTGTCAATGTCCGCACGCATTCTTTTGTATTGTGCATACCTGGTAAAAATATAGAAGGTAATTATACAGTACAGATAAAACCGGGGAAGGGGGGGCGTGCAGTGAAAAAATATATATATATTGATGACCGTCAAATTAAAGCTGGCAAGTCAAATCACACCTAGATCAAGCTATTAAAGTAGATACATAATTTTTCTACATTTTTAGAATATTTTGAGAACAGAAACTGTAATTCCTCCCCTGCTATTCAAGTGCAAATATTATTATAAGTCGATAAGCAGTAATATAAAATTGTGTTTGAATGCACGTAATGATGATAAATCAATAAGCAGCTTATTCTTTAGAAATTTAATCCAGTCAGAGGGTAGCAATATTCAAAAATCAATTATATTTGATTCAGTTACAGATTCTAGCAAACAGAACAGAAAGCAGAGCGACTTGCTTACTTGTTCATCCAGATAAAATCTAGTTAAACAGCTAATAATTGAAATAGAAATAGAAAAACCCACATAGGGCCCTACAATAATAAAGCAAACACAAAATCGTAAAAAGTTCTGAGTGGTTTTTCAAGTATTGTTTCTCAAAACATGAAATAACTGTTAATTGTGAATAGGAAACATATGCAAATTCCAATCCAGATACCAACATGGACCTTCAAGGACAAGCGCAAGTCTGCTATAGTGCAGATACACAACCACGGTAGACAAGCAACCATAACCTATATAGCAAAAGGTTCCAACAACTAAGAAACTAAAATCAGCAGCCATCTTGTAAAGGATATAGGAGAGTCAACATTTGGATTCAATTTATCGCACAATATACATACAGGCAAATAAAAAGAGGATTATCATACCGGTAATCAATATGGTCACGAAAGCCCAACAATAATGGATCTATTTCATATACTTTCTGTCCAGCACCAGGAGGGGAAATGGACCTTGGTTTTGCTTCAACCTCAATCTTTTTATCTTCTAACATTCCTTCACTATCTACATTAGGAATTACCTATAACAGGATCATAAAGAGAAAAGGAGTAAGGACTTTTTCTCTTGTATTTGATTTATTTACCTGAAATGTGCATAAAAATTAGCTGCTAATGAACTTAAAGATAAGAAACATGAAAATGCCATTCCCCAACCTTATTCCTCAGATTTTTATGTAGTTTATTATAATTTTCCTTCCAAAAGAGTAATAGTTCACAATCAGAATAACACATTTTTTAAAAGAAAACGTTAAATCTGTTTTAGAGAATCAAGAAGCTTGAATGATTTCATCAAAGATATAAAAACCGAGAAAATATCATTCCCAAACTTGTTCCACAGCCTTTGATGTTGTTTCTTATATTTTTTCTTCAAAAAGATTCAGAGGTCAGACTCAGAACCACAAGAATCAACAAGCTGGAATGACATAAACACATCTCATATTTCAAATTTACTTCCAAGTATATTTCATGAAGTAGAGTGTAATATTTCCATAATATTCAAAATACATTCTGCAGTATTCTCAGATATTCACAAACCTGTGGATCATCCGAAATAGTGCAAAGACTTTGCAATTGATCCGTCAAGGATGAAGAAGCATCACCCTGGGCACCAGGGGCAAGCACTTTCTCGTATGCAGTAACAGTGAAGGATAAAAAGAATGAATCAGAAAAAGACTTTTCTACAATGATCTTCCCTACAAGCAAGCATCAAATCAGTTTTCCACCTACTGTGAAGCAAATGGCTACAAAAGCAGTCATCTCCACAGACTCAGAGAATACTTTTGACAGTACTAGAATTATACTAGCAAATTCAGATCCATCTTCATTAGAGAATAAGAGAAACCAAAAGCCAGGGTCATATGGGAAGCTCATATTGGAAATAGGCTGATAATGCAGAAATTATTCGCCTATATCGTTTTCAGCGTAAATTATTTGTATTTTTCTGCTTAAAGTTCCCTAACTGCAAATTTAAAACATAACTTTCCATTTGATGGTTTCTGCTATTACACTACAACATCCTTTTTTAAAAATCCACTTTCACATTTAAACTCAGCTTCCTTCCACATGCAATTATTGCCTTTTCATTTCAAAAACTAGAAACTTCTTCATTGTAATTCTTTTACTGCTACAAGTTCAGCAGTAACATTTTGAATCATGCTGATCAGTGCTTCAACAATCCACGTTTCTTCCAATATTAAGGTTAATAACAAAGCACATATTGGCCATTGCGATTCCATAAATCAACTCAGATTTTTTTCCACCGTTGTTTCTAACTTTATCAATAAAAAGAACAAGCATCGTAGAGTGAGTAATAAAACTTACTAAAGCTAACCGATCACTGTTTCATCAACAACATTTTTTAATTGGAAAATGGAAAATGAGATTCGATTAGTTAAAGAATACCTAGAAAAAATCATGAAAGTTCGAGCTTACTAAAACAATTACAAAGAAAAAAAATGAAAAGCGAGAATCATGTTTCCAGAAACGAACAAAAACAAATAGAGAAGAGAAATGAGAGAGAATACGAGAAGATTGAAGCTTCTTCGACAAAAGCAAAAAACGGCTACTCTTAGCAGTAGCATTGAAGCTTGACGCACTGAATCTGTACACTGAAGGCAGACGAGATAGCTGTAAAACAGATACATCATGAACCATTATCTCTTCACAGTTTCTTCTTTTGTATTTCAGATTTGAATGCTAAACACTGTGAGAGAAAAGGTTTTTAAAAGAGAATACAGAGCACAATGAGAGTAGAGAAAATCTCGCCAACGGAGTTACGAAGGCAACGAGAAGCGTGAAATACGATACAAAATCTAAAATCAAAAGAAATAAAAATGAAAGGGAGCACTACGTGTAACTGGGATTCGAGAGTGGGACCCACCAAAATTTTCATTATTGACCGCGCATATTCACGCTTGGCTCATTTTTTTTATCAATCAAATTATGGATTTGATTCTTGGGTAAAGTAAAAAAATGTTACCGGACTATATAGTATTATTTTTGTTGAATTTTTTAATTATTAAAAAAATATAAAATAGTTTTTTAATTATAAGATTTTTTTTTGAATTTTCTATTAAAATTTATAAAATGATTATTCAATTATTCATATGTTTCAAACTAGTATTTTTCTGTTAAAAAGTGATAGTTGTTTGAGTTGGATATTAACATATTATTTAAGATAAGATAAAATTATATTTCAACGATGTCTATTGGTCTCTTCGTTTCTTTTAAGCATTAGCTCGACGATATAATGTTTCAAGCACTAACTCGACTAGTGTTATTCAAATTTCGGTTAAAACCAATTAAACCGATCGAACCCAATTTTTTTCGGTTAATCGATCGATTATTTGATCGGTTAACGATTAATTATTTTTTCAAACTTCAACTATCTGGTAATTCGATTCGAAATCGGTTAATTAACCCATATTATTAAATATTATATATATTATTATATATTTTTTAGCCTAATCTGCCCTACCCAAGTCCATTAAGAACCCAATTTGTTTAACCCAAAAGAAAGACCCAATTAACTTAAACCCCTAAAAGATAAATAGAACATTAAAATTCGTCAAAAAGAAAATTTGTCTATTAGAAGGAACCCTAAACGACTGCTACCCTCTAAAGTCTAAAATTCTTCGAATTCTTTTCAGTTTTCATTTCTCAATCCTACAGTGTTGGATTTTGTAGCTTGTGCCTTTTCGAGCTACCAAGATGAAGTGTTAGTAAGTGGTAACTTGTCGAACCTATGCTACATTTACTTTTTACTTATTTCTTTCCACCAAATCTTTTCAAACATGGTAATTTGTAGGTAAAGCGAGAGGAACTGCTTCCATTTGTTCAAAGTGCCATATTAGGGTTGAAAATCAGTGCAGATCTATTAAGGACCTAAGGTAGTTCAAAACAAAGAGTTTTGTTTTCTGCTTTTTAATGAAATGGCTATTGTTATTTTAAAATTAGAAAAAAATTATAAATTAACCTAATTTTATTCAGTTTGGTTAAACATTTTCGAATTTTTTTTGTTCGGTTAACAGTTAAAGGAAAAAAGCTGGTCTATAAAATTTGGGTAGTTCGGTTCGATCGGTTAAGTGAACCGACCAATTGAACACCCCTAGGCTCAACGACATAATGTAAATGGAAACTCGATCCAAAAAATACACCTCAAACGATTCTGAGATAATATTTTATCATATCTTATTTAATAGGTTAACGTCAAGTTCAGAAGATCATTAATATTTTAACGGAAAATGACGAGTTTGGAACATATAAATAGTGGAGTGACTATTTTGTAACTTTTAATAGTCAGAGGACTCAATAAAGCAATACCCTTTGTTAGAGGATTATTTTGTAACTTTTAATAGTCGATGTACTAAACAAAGCAATATCCTATAACCGGGGACCATTTGTGTATTTTACCCTTGATCTTCTATCCTGCTTAAATTAAAATGAGAAAATAACCTCAGTGACCAAAAATGCCTTATAATATACGATTTTAACCAACTTTTTTTGGATTTGCCAAAATGACCAACTAAATCGTAATGCGATCGATAATTCGTAACGCGATCTCCGATATCGCAAATCAGTTTCCATATTCGCAACGCGAACTTCGACTATCGCAATGCGAACTTCGACTATCGCAATGCGAACTTGGACTATCGCAATGCGAATATGTAAATCGCAATGCGATAGTCGACTATCGCAATGCAAACTTGGACTATCGCAACGCGAACTTCGACTATCGCAATGCGAACTTGCGAACTTGGACTATCGCAATGCGATAGTCGACTATCGCAATGCGAATATGTAAATCGCAATGCGATAGTCAAAGTTCGCGTTGCGATAGTCCAAATTCGCATTGCGATTTACATATTCGCATTGCGATAGTCGAAGTTCGCATTGCGATAGTCGAAGTTCGCATTGCGATAGTCGAAGTTCGCATTGCGAATCTGGAAACTGATATGCGATACCGGAGATCGCATTGCGAATTATCGATCGCAATGCGATTTAGTTGGTCATTTTGACAAATCCAAAAAAAGTTGATTAAAATCGTACATTATAAAGCATTTTTGATCAATGAGGTTATTTTCTCAATTAAAATTCCATTGTTATATTTTAATATGAGATAATTTAATTAGTTATAATCATTAATTAATTAATATAATTATTTAACGGTTTTTAGTTATTTTGGTCAAAATGTTAAGATGGAATTTGTGAAGAAAAATCTTTTTAGTTTATCATGCTAACATCGTGAGTATTTTTGTATCAAATTATGTTAGTTAAAATACAAGAATTAAATGTTGTAGAGGGATTGAAACTAAATTTAACTTATTTTCATCAAATTTGCACCATTAACACGTGGATTCTGCTTAGTCAGCTGATGAAGAGGATCAAGAATGGCTGGTGGGTGAATTCAACGAAAGTTCTTGAAAATTTATACTAATTACATTCAAGTACAATAGTTTAGGAAATGGCATTCATCCACATGAAACCAAACGACATCTTACTTGAAAAAAAAGGAAAACACTTGTGGGATTGAGACCCTCGATAAAACTATTACATTGAGCTTTTTACCGGGAGGTAATTTCACAACAAATCGATTCAATCGGTTGAACTCACGTTCATATTCATAAATAGATTTATGATCAAGTTTCGGATTCAAAAATTTATGTCACATTTCTTAGATAAACTGAGCTCCAATGTACTTGTTACGGAATTCTTAAAGAAAGAATTCTCAAGTGATCGGTTCCTGTATATGCAAATTAACATTTGTCCACTAGATTCGTGCAGGCCCCTTTAGTAATGATACAATCCCATCGAGCTTCCTCTGATCATTACAATGAAACCTTTCCAGAAAAATCTTAATATTGTTGAACCAATAATCTGCTGACACTAGATCTCCATCTGCGTCTCCATAAAATCTGACACCCCAAGGCTTTTCAGCTCATTCGCTATGGAAGTCTGAGATTGCCTATTCAATAAGGTTTGAAAAAATAAACCTTGATCTTGCACAAGCATCTTAGGTTGCACTGGCACACTAACATCAAACTGAGTTGGAGGTAGGTTATGATTAACCTGGTTACTCCCCTCATGGGCTTTATCCAAATCCATATGATTGGTCACTCGACGGGATTCCTCAATCTCAGACATTTATAACTCAACAAAACAATTTATATTAGTAAGCAGTTGCATCAAGTCATACAAGCATCAACAATATTGATTATGACATCCTAGTGACATGTATACACTTACTGACTAATAACAGACTCAGTTTAAATTTAGAATCTACTAAACATGTAGCTTTGATACTACTAAATGTAACACCATCCTCTCAAATCGAATCAGCGAACTCAAGTCAGAAATGTCACAATACAATTTCATAATATTTTACTAATTTGTGTGTAAAGAAAAATATTTACTTTACCTAGTTAATAAACATGCTATTTTGATTTTCAATCCTTTAGGATATGAAAAATTAATATGAAACATTCCTACATGTTAAAATCATAAACGATCTTTAAAAAAAATATTTACATTTAGTGAACCCGAAACATGCATATAATTAAACTAACCATAGAAGTCAA